AAAGATTAATGGGGGAAAGAGTGTCCTCTTTTGTAAAAATCCATCATATTGAATGTTGCAATTAAGCAATTGTAGTCCACTTAGACTACTGGACATGGATATGGAAAAACACCCATTAAAACAGACTTAGTCCACTGTATTGATGGATTGCTTGATATACTAAGAATAAACTAGAATACATTACACTGTAGTATTACCTGAAAAAAAGAGTGAAAGTACAATACAGTAGAGTACATTACAGTAATGCACTCCAGTTTTAAAGCTGCTAGAAATGCCTTGCTTAATAAGGGGCTTACTGTTTAAAAAAGTTTATGTATTTCATTTACCATAACTGTATAATGTACTGTACTCAACTTTATAGAAATAGTTTGTTACAATACAGCACAATATCCCCATGTGTTCTAGTTGTGACCCAGAAAAACTTAGAATAAGTCAGGGAAGCAGTAAAGCTCCAGCATAACATTGCAGATTGTGTGCCCGACACAGAAAGGGAGCATGTTGATGCCAGTCAGCATCAATGTGCTAACTTTCCTCAGAGAAAAACTTTGCTCAGTCTACCTGTTATTTTTTATTATAATCAAAAAGACCAGTTTTACCTTTTGCGCTCTTAAAACATTGCATAGCTCCTGATGATGCTTGGAGATGTTGTGAAAGATCTTGAGCTGAACATTTCTATCCTCACATGGCTTGTCTTATGTGTGCATGTGTGATATTTATTTGCATTTGCTATTTGGAGAGTCACCTGAACTTGTATCTGTTGGCTTCTGGCAAGACATTGATAGTGTAAATGATGGTGAAAGTGTTTCCTTTTCAGGTCGCCCTGCTTTGGTGGGAGACAGCCAGTGTTACAAAAAATATAATTGTATTTATTTTACTTTTTTTTTCAACAAGTCGGTTGTCCCACCGAGGTAGGGTGACCCATCATCATTCAACAGTTTCACCTCACACATAAACACTGTTTTTGCAAGGTGTGCTCAGAATATAACAGTTTAAAAAGTATATACGTATAAAGATACACAACATATCCCCCAAACGGCCAATATCCCAAACCCCTCCTTTAAAGTGCAGGCATTGTACTTCCCATTTCCAGGACTCAAGTTTGGCTATATAAAAATAACAGGTTTCCCTGAATCCCTTCACTAAATATTACCCTGCTCACACTCCAACAGCTCGTCAGGTCCCCAAAAACCATTCATCTCCATTCACTCCTATCTAACACGCTCACACCGCTTGCTGGAAGTCCAAGCCCTCACCCACAAAACCTCCTTTACCCCTCCCTCCGACCTTTTCGAGGACGACCCCTACCCCGCCTTCCTTCCCCCACAGATTTAAGTGCTCTCCATGTCATTTACTTTGATCCATTCTCTCAAAATCACCAAACCACCTAAACATTTCCTCTTTAGCCCTCGACAAATATTTTATGTACCCCAAAAAATTCTCCAAATTTCACACCCGTTTTTTCTGCTTTAATTCACACCAGCTTTGCCCATAGACGGGGACATTCCACTGCCTCCCGCGCACATTTACAACCCAATTTAAACACCCATATAAAATTTGGTACTGCAAATTTTCATACTTCCCTTCTTGCCTCCATAGATAACGTTTTTTTCTACATAACCTCATGCCCCCACTTCCTTTTTTCCTTCATCAATTCTTGATTAACCTCTCCTTATAAACCCATCTGCTGACACGTCAACCCCCAAAATCGAAAACATTCACTTTTCCATACCCCTCCTCCCCAATTTGATATCCAATTTTTTTTATCCAAAATCTTTGATACCCTCATCCCCTTTATTTTTTTCTATGTTCACTTTCAGTTTTCTATTTTTAATTTACACTCTCAAATTTGCCCAATAATCTTTGCATTTTTTTTCTTAGAATCTTCAAAAGTAAAGTATCGCAAAAAGTAATTGTGTCAATTCTCATTTTGTATTTGTTTCCCCCAAAATTTTAAATTTCCCAACCTCCCGTAACCCCCTAGCTTTTTACTTCTTTTAAAAACCTCATCAAAAAAATAAAATTTTTAAAAAACCCTGGTGCATTACCATCCCTGTCAAGGCCTACTTTACGGGAAGTATCTCCCTCTCTTCACACCCCCTAACTGAGCCTGTTCCTCATAAAAACTCTTTACAGCATTTAGAAAATTACCACCTTTTTATATCCTGAAAATCGGGCCACATTGCCCCCCCAATCCACTCTATCATTCCCTTTTTTCTAGACCCAAAATGCAATAAAAATTTCCCCTACCTTTATTAAATCGTTCTTTTTTATGTTTCAATTAAAAACTTGTCTAACATCCCTACCACTCAAAAAATTCCCTTTGCTCATCTGAAATCCAATTCTGTCTTACCTAAAATTTCTTTCAGAAATAACCTACTGTACACTTTTTTGGTATATCAGTAAACTTTTCCTCTATAATTTTTAAATCTCTTTGTCCCTTCCCCTTTATAAAAAGGGAGAAAACATGCTCTCTCAATCCTAGGTACTGTCCCCTTTTTTAAAATTTTTATTAAAAAAAAATCCCAAACCCACTCCAACATTTAACCCCCCCCGCTTTTAACTTTTTGTAGGATCCCCCATTCCCAGCTGCTTTGCCCCTTTCATTTACAAAATTTCTCGCCACCCCCCCCAACTCACATCCTGCTCTTTTTCACTCCTACAAAGGTAACCTCCCTGGCCAGTGCATGAAATTTCCGCTTCCCTTTCTTTGTCGACATTTAAAAGTGCCCAAAAATTTCTCGCCATTTGCCCGTACCCCCATCCCCCCCATTACTAACCCCTACTTGTTTTTAACTGACTATCCATTCGTTCCCTAGGCTTTTTTAAAGGGTTGTTTAAATCGCCCCAAAATTTTTTTTCTTATTTTCATTAAAATTTCTTGACAGTGCCTCCCCCTTCATTGCTCTCCTTTTGCATCTCTTTCCACTCTCTCACCTTTCTTTTACTCCCCATTACTCTGCTCTTCTTTAACACTTCTGCTTTGTAAAACCCCTTTATAACCTCCTTTTTTTTTTTATCACACCCTTTTCTTCTCATTCCACCAATCACTCCCCTTTCCCCTGCACCCCCCCTCCATAACCCCAAACTTCTGCTCCCAAACCCCTAATACTGCATTTTTTAAAACTATTCCAACCCTCTTCAACCCCTGCACTACTCATACTTGGGACCACCCACCTTTCTGCCAATAGTTGCTTAAATCCGCCCGGCTTCCTCCTCCCTTGTTTAGTTTATACACTTTTTACCTCCCTTTTGTTGTATTTTCCTCTTGTCCCATCTACGTCTTACCTAACTGAGCTACAAAAAAAATGATCCGATATACGTGTCCTTCTATAAACGTGTACTCCGGAGCCACGATCAACCTTTTATCCACCCAAAAATTCTAATAAACTATTTCATACTTTCTAATCATACCCTTTTATATTTTTTATCCTCTTTTTTATAAAATATGTATTACTTACTCCAAAACCCCTTTTTACATAACCAATTAAAGGCTCCCCATTTCATTTACCCCTGGCACCCCCCGTTACCATACCCTCCACAACATTTTTCCCACTTTAGCATTGAAATCCCTAACCCCAAGTACTCTCCCCTTTTTTCAAAAATCCCCCCGCATTCAACATTTCCCCCGAATCTCTTCCCCCTACACTTCTCTCTTCCCAGGTGATATATGCTTACAAACCCACTTTTCACATCCCCCTTTATTTTACTCCAATAATCCTTTAATTATACATTTATGTTTTTTCCCGCCATGCTTGCTTCAAAATTATTGCTACTTTTTCTTTAGCTTTATTTTAAACCCGACTAAACCCTTTATTCCCCTCCACTGAAACTCCCCCACCCCTTACTTTGTTTCCCTTAAAGGCAGGGAAACCAGCTTCCAATCATATCTTTTTTGCATCTGCACAACTCCCCGCACATTAGGCATCCCACTTTGAAATTTTCTTTTTATTTTTTAATTATTAAAGGAAAAAGGGGTTACTAGCCCATTGTTCCCCGGCATTTTAGTTTACTTTTACAACACACATGGCTTACAAGGAAAGATTTTATTCCACTTCTCCTGGATATAAAAAGGGAAAAATAATAAGAACAAGAACTATTAAAAAAATCAAAGAAGACTCGATGGGGTGTATAAAAAAAACATGACGTGTATGTGTAGTGTGACCCAAGTAGAAGTAGGAAGACTTGTCGAATCTTGCATTTTTGGACAGACAAAAGACACCAGCAATCCCCACACCTGAAAAAAATTACAGGTTTGTTTTACACACTTGGAGGACAGTATTTCCTCCCTGGGTGGTTGGCAGGGGGCAGGTACCTCCCCCGGGTGGTTGCTGTCACAACTTGCTATATTTTTTACTATTCTTTTTTTGAAAACCCGGCCCTATCCCACCCAAGGGAGGGTGGCCAAAAAAGTAAAACGAAAGTTTCTCTTTTTAAATTAAGTAATTTGTACAGGAGAAGGGGTTACTAGCCCCTTGCTCCCGGCATTTTAGTCGCCTCCTACAACACGCATGGCTTACAGAGGAAGAATCCTGTTACACTTCCCCGTGGAGATAAGAAATAAACAAGAATAAGAACTAGAAAGAAAATAGAAGAAAACCCAGAGGGGTGTGTATATATATATGCTTGTACACATATGTATAGTGTGACCTAAGTGTCAGTAGAAGTAGCAAGATGTACCTGAAATCTAGCATGTTCATGAGACAGAAAAAGGACACCAGCAATCCTACCATCATGTAAAACAATTACAGGCTTTAATTTTACACTCACTTGGCATGACGGTAGTACCTCCCTGGGTGGTTGCTGTCTACCAACCTACTACTATTTATTTACATTTATTAGTTATTTTTTCTATTTTTTATTTTATTTATTGTATTTATTTATTCTTGCATAAAGTTCACATAAATGTCAAATAATCTTACCCAGAAACTAGCCAGGATAAGAATCAAGAAAATTATATAAGATCAAGTATTTCTTTCTGTAAAACTAAAACTTCATTTCAGGTTCACCAAGCAGAAGTCATGATTTTGGGTTTTCCAGTTTACCGTTATTCTACAAACAATCCTCGCACTATTATTCAGCCTGACAGAATGCCAGGTCAGTGCTGGGCTTTTAAGGGATCTCAAGGATACATTGTAATTCAGTTGGCTGGCCTTGTGAAACCAACAGCTTTCAGTCTTGAACATATCCCAAAATCTTTGTCACCCACTGGAGAAATTGACTCTGCTCCACGAGAATTTGAAGTTTGGGGCCTTTTATCTGAGAATGACGAAGGTATTCAACTTGGGAGCTATGAATACAGCCAAAATGGAGAACCACTTCAGTCCTTCATTGTGGAGAAAGAAATTGATGAATATTTTCCTATTGTTGAGTTGAAAATAAACAGTAACCATGGTAATATGCATTATACTTGCCTTTACAGGTTCAGAGTTCATGGTGTACGACACTTGTAAATTCACAAAACTCTTGATCTCAGGCATTACTCATGAATAAGTGATGATACTCCCAAGTGCTATTAATTTTAGTGACTGGTGGCCTTACATTCTCATATCTTGAGTGTTGGCTAGTAATAGTCTGCCTATAATTATTTGCAAACAAAGAAAAAAGGATTTAGTTGACATTTAAAGTCAGAACAGTGCAATTTCTTTGTTCACTTGCCCTGACTGTTATTGTAGGTCATGAGCAAGTCTATAAATAATGAAATGTAATTGCAGATGAAAATATTTTAATGTATGAATTGTTTATTTTATAAAATGTGTAAGTATGAAACTCAAATTTTGCAAATGTAAGCCTAAGTGTTGAGAATACAGTATACAAGAGTACCTGCTGTTGTAACTCAGAGGATGGTGTCCCTGAAAAGTGTGGCAGGATTTCCTTGTTAAATGCTTCTCATTAAGACAAATGTTTGAATTATTTTATTCAAGAAAATGTTTTGAGATTTGTCCTCTTAGATTTCATATGCTATTCATCTTGGCAAGCAATGGGAATAAAATTTATTTTGATTAGGTGACAATAATTCCATGAAAGTTTTCATCTTTTGATTGAACTCCTAATATTTTCCTTAAATTTATTTAGATATGGCTTTATTTTAATGATTCAGTACTGAATAGCTTTTGTAAATTCTGGTGTGCATTTACAAAAAAAAAAAAAATCAACATTAGTAATCGGTCCCCGCTTTACGAAAGTTTGCATTATAAAATTTTGCTCATTGGAACTTGTATAATGAAGTGCTTACCTTCTGCTTGGCATGTCACCCAAATGCGAACTCTTGTTTGACATCCTTTCAGAACTTACACATAGATATATGAATGCAGCATTCCCCAGTCAGTTTGCCTTACACTCTGCTGTTTTGTACATCTTATAAAATGTTTTATATTTTTACCAGTTTTGTGGTATAACTTCATGGCTGTTATGAAGAAAGCTTTAGAATTAGTGATGGTGCTACTGTAAAAAAAAAAATGTTCTATGAAATGTCTCGTATTTAAAACGGAAGCTGAAATAATGAAACTTGGTGATGGTAGTATATGAAATCATGATATCTGCCAAAAGTTTATCTCTAGTGGTTATTATATCATTTTGTGCCCAATGTTTGTGTGTTTTCTTTCTGGCAATAAAATAGACAGCTATGGGTAATAGCATTTTGCTTCATAAACGCCAAGAATGTAAAAATTCGTAAGAGCGGGGACTGTTGTACATATATATTTATACTGTATATTTTTTTATTTAAATATAGACAAATGGTGCTTTATACAGCCTTCTAAAGAAATCAGTATGTCTTGCATAGTTTTTTCATTACTGGCGGTTCAGATTCCAATTTTACGTATTTTGGTGTCTGGAGTTTTTTTTTTTTTCCACTAGTAAAGATGATGGGTTTTAGTCTTAATTTTAGTGAAGGTTCCATAGGTTGTCAAACTATACTATTATGTTGCCAAAGGTTGCTTGTAATTGTGCCATTTGCAAGTCACACAACATTTGCCTGTTTTAGAGGCTTGGACATGTAGCAGTTTGCATTCTCAAAGGAATAAATTGTGACCCAAAGATTTGTAGATAGCTAAAGTACTGTATTTTATAAGATTTTTTATGAGGTACAAAAAAGAATTGGTGGTAGGATGCATAAGTAGGTGTATGTACTTATTTTGTACAGATCTTGGACATAACTTGCAGAAATAACTTTTGTACATTTTTAAGACACATGACATAGATAATATATGACTGAAGAAATAGCTCTTGTGTTTGCACATAATTGGCTGCAGCCAGACCTGCCTTTTTCCTTTCATGCTTTCAGAGTATGATTATTTGCTAGTCTTCATTTCTTTATCAGCTAGGATGAACTAATAAACAGTAACCTTTTAACTATGTTTATATGAGCCTAATGCATATACTGTGTTACTATGTTTTGTTTGCCTACCAGGTACCTTGATTAGTATACTAATAATTTTCATAATTTTTTTTTTTTTATCAGGACAATAGAACGGACTATTAAGTTGTATGTGGTGAACTGACAGTGCAGCCCAGCAGTCCTTGCAGAGCAGTGCCAGTTGCTTCTGTATGGTAACCATGTGTATGTCACATGTCTAATTCATAAGTTTTGAGAGCACAGTTTCCCTAAACCTGACAGTAGTGGGAAGGTAATGGCCAGACTCCCAGTCATACAAATAACCCGCATATAGGAGATGGGAGCTTACAACGACGTTTCGATCCAACTTGGACCATTTACAAGTGTCCCTCTTGATGATGTCCTTAATTTTCTCAGGGAGAAGGCCAATGAAGGGTTACTTCAGCTCCCTATACCTACTGATGTCTTTCTTGATCTTATCCACCTTTGTGTGGACTCAAGATTACTTTTGCTTCCAAGGCAAATATTCTCAAATTTTTGGCGTCACTATGGGCTCTCCTCTGTCTCCTGTTCTTGCAAATCTTTACACGGAATATTTCGATGATGTGCGCTCTTCACTCTGGCTCCGCTATGTAGATGACATCTTTGCTCTTTGGCCTCATGACTAGTCTCTTCCAACCATTTCTTGATGCTCTTAATAATCTTGCCCCTTCCATTAAGTTTAAAGCTGAATGGGAATCTAATTCTTTGCTTCCTTTCATTGATGTTCATGTCCACCACTCAGATACAGGTTTTACTTTTTTCTGTGTACCGCATGCCTATGCGCAGTGTCATGTACATTCACTGCTTTTCTTATGCTTCCTCTGTCAAGAAAAGTGTTCTTATCTCCCTCTTTCTCTATGCTCTGCATTTGTGATCCTCAGTTCCTTGAATCAGAAATTTCCACTCTACATAATTCATTTTTCCCATCTGGCTACCCTTCCCATTTCATAGACGCTGCCTTCTCACATGCTAAACGGTCTTTATTCTCTCCCAAACTCTACTCCTGGGAACTCTCCTGCCCTCTGCCTTACCTACATTTCCAGTTTTTCTAATCTCAACAACTTCCATCCCTTAGACATCAAACTTACTTTTGCCAGACTAACACTCTTCGTACCAATCTAGTTCATACCTCTCCTTCCTCTATTGATGCTCCTGGTGTCTACTCTATTTCTTGTTCCTCCTGTCCTCTTCAGGAAATTGGAAAAACTGGCCAATCTCTTTCTGACAGACTTAGGGAGCACAGTAGTGTTAGGCTTGCTGACACCAACAGTGTTCTTTTCTGTCATGTCAGAGATCACAGTCATCCTATTGACTGGTCTTCTGCTAAAACTGTCTACCCTGCTTCTAACTCTCACAGTCGCCATCTGGTTGAATCCTCCCTTATACACAACTTTCCTCATATGAATCTTAGTCCTGGCTTTGTCTCTGTAGATGCCTTCCTTGCCCATTACATTGTAAAATGCTCCAAACTTCAGAACACCCGTGACTTAACTCGATTCTTTTTCCCCTTTTTCCTTCCCTCTCTCTCCTTTAGGTTTTCTTTCTTCTGCCTTGGGTATTTGGTCCATTATTATTATTTTCCCCCCTCTTGTGTTCTTGTTCCTACCCTATGTGGGCCTCGAGCTCCCTTGCAGTGCTCCTCTTTCTTAGTATTTGACTGACTCCACTACTACCACTATACCTCTACCACTACCTCTCTTCCTCCTTTCCTTCTACCTCTCTTGTTCCTGTCAATGTCTGCTGGCCTATATATACTCCCTCTTTCTCTCCTTTTTGTTAGTGTGACTTTGTAAATGGTTCAAGTCGGACCGAAACATCGTAAGCTCCTCTCTCCTATATGCGGGTTATTTGTATTGTTCCAGTCACAGTATTGTGCCTTTTTTGTTATTTATCTCCTCTTCAAGGGGGGGGGGGGGCTCCTTGGCGTGGTGAAGCTCCTCTTGATCTGAGAAATAAGACCTTTTGATCTTCCTCAGACCGAACCTAATTAACCCCCAATCCCCCCTACCCTATCCTATCCTCCCTTTTTCTTTTTCCTCCTCCCCATCTCTTCCCTATTCCCTTCCTCTTTTTGGCCTTTGGGATTCTTCCCACAGGCAATGTAGTTCCTAGGTAGGGGGAAGGGTACCGGGATCCATCCCATTCCGTTGAGGTATTTGGCGGTGGTGTAGTTTGCCGTGGAATCTGGATCTCCTGGAGATGTCCAGACCCCTCTCCAGTCTCCTGGGGGGGTCTTTTAGGTGACGGGTGTATCTCTGGAGGTTGCCTGTCGGATTCCAGGGGGTGGTGGCCAAAGGAGGTATGCTGTGTGGTGGGTGTCCGGCCGCCTTCTTTTTTGTCCACTGAGGTGGCTCGGTGGATGTGAGATTGCTATCCTGGATTGCTGGTTTACTGGCGTGAAGGGTAGGGTATGGCACTGGTTCCATGTCACATCTGCACTACTTGCAGTGCTGATGTCCTTTTTGGGGCACAGGGGGGATTTACGGCCTTTTTTTTTTTACCTCCTAGCAGCTATTCCTCCATGTCTCCCCCCCCCCCCTTTTTCTAAAAAACAAACAGAAAGAAGTGATCTAACCATGGAGTCCCCAATCCATGAACCTGCTCCCCCTGGGCCCTTCTCGATACCACACCCCGTTCTGACCCTGCCTCGTTTTTTGACCACTTCGGACACTTCAAATGCCCTGTCCCTCTTGTTGGTGCTGTTTCATCACCCGCTTCAGGTACCGGGGTTTCGACTGACCCCTTCGATACGTCTGACCTTCGATCATAGAACTCTCCTTCGCCTACATTCAGCCCAAATTTTATCAAAACTCGATTATGGTGACCAGATCTATTCAGCAGCCTCCCCTGCAAACTCTCTCTAGCCTTAATCCCATCCATCACCAGGGATTATGTCTATGCCTTGGTGCTTTTCGCTCCTCCCCTGTTGAGAGAGTCTATGCAGAAGCAAATATTCCACCCCTGTCCGATCACCGTGATGGCCCATTGCCTTCGCTATTATGTTTCACTTGTGATTCCGCAATCCTTCCATATATAAATAGTCACTGCCTCTCCACTCCAGTCGCACTCAGTCTAAAAAGCACCAAACACAATGAATTTTGTGCAATGTTTAGAAGAGCGTGGAGACTAATGCTCGCTCCGCATAAAAAAAGCCACACTGATGATGTGTCAACCACTTCCTCACAATTGCTTCAACCCTTGTATTTTTGTACAATTTCCTTCTTCAATTCTATCGTTTTTATTATTATTTATTATTATTATTAGTAGTAGAAAATTATAACAATAACTTTTGACATAATCTGCTAATTCAGGCCTTTATCAGTTTTTGTGTGGTCCTGAAGGCGTCTCGCTGTCCCTTGACGTTTACCAACGTATTAGTCTTCCAAAAATTCAACCAGATGACTTTAATTGCTTTCCTCAATACACTATTTTGGAAATCATCGCAGGAAGTATTTATATTATTCTTGAATTCGGTCAGCATTGACCTGACCATGTTGATTGCCTTAATATCCGGGAAATATCTCATTCTAATGCGAAACCAGTAGATGATTCAATGGTGTCGGTGAGCCCGGAGCTGACAACTATGTCCTTTGAATGCCAAGGCATGGTACGAGCAGGTACCGCCGCCCTGTCGTGCACAGAGAATAGACCTTACTTTTGTAAAAACAGGAGTGCTTTCTCATATATTCGGTTACTACTTCGAAGGCGATCTTCTAAGAACCCCCCGTTTTTGTTATAGCAAGGTCCCATCTTGGCAGGCATATATAGAAACTGAGGGGCCCCACTAGTCAGATTACAATACAACCATGGCTTTGCGTAGAGGTTTCGGGCCCAGGAGAGAAAGGATCTCGTCAGTTAATATTTTGCACACTTTACCGAAATGACCCGAGGCGTTTTAAACAAGTATGGTGTTATATCTTCACAGCTTATGATTTGGGGGGACTCCAGGAGTGGGTGATAAACACCTATATACTGAACATCATTTCTCTTTCCCCTTCACTTATCAATCTGATAAGTCACAAGGATAGTTGCGGGGCCGAACCCGCGATGCTTGAGTTTTTCAACTCGAGAAGTCTTCACTAAAACCCCGGGCCCAGCGGGATACAAGTAAATTTTTCAAAAAAATGTATTTATAACCATGTTACATAGGTACCTTATAGTGAATAGTCAAATGTAGTGAGTTATATGTGATAGTGACATGTTATAATAGTGTAGATAGTGCAGTGAGTTATATGTGATAGTCTAGTGTTACATAGTGATAGTGTAGTGCGTGTAGTGTTTGTGTAGATACTGAAGTTCAGTGTTGTGTAGTGTAGTGTTGTGTAGTTTTTGAAGTGCAGTGTTGTGTAGTGTTGTGCAGTGTAGTGGTTTTGTAGATATTGAAGTGCAGTGTTGTGTTGTGTAGTGTTGTGCAGTGTAGTGTTGGGGTAGATACTGAAGTGGGAGTGTTGGTAGATATTGTAGTGGTGTTGTGCAGTGTAGTATTGTGTAGATATTGAAGTGCAGTGTAGTGTTGTGTAGATACTGGAAGTGCAGTGTTGTTGTATGTTGTGCAGTGTAGTGTTGTGTAGATATTGAAGTGCAGTGCATTATTATTATTATTATAATCAAAAAAGAAAACGCTAAGCCACAAGGACTATACAGCAAAGTGCAGTGCAGTGTTGTGTAAATTTTAGTGCAGTATAGTGGTATGTAGTGTAGTGGCAGTGTATTGCAGTGTGGTGTAGTGCAGTGCATTGTAGTGTTGTGTAGTGAAGTGCAGTGTTGTGTTGTGTAGTGTTGTTTTAGTGTTGTGCAGTGTAGTGAAGTGCAGTGCAGTGTAGTGTTGTGTTTACCTGGGAGATTCCGGGGGTCAACGCCCCCGCGGCCCCGGTCTGTGACAGGTAGTGGGAGTGTTGTGTAGATATTGAAGTGCAGTGCAGTGTTTTTGTATAGTGTTGTGTATTTCAGTGTAGTGTAGTACAGTTTCATTGTG